ACATACTAAAAATTGTATTCTTACTGTTTGTGAACCTAGCTACTGGAGCTTGCCTCCACACAACTCACTAAGTAAACACAATCCATTTTGGAGAATCACGTATATAAATGTGATGGATTGTTTGACCTTTCCTTGATTTTCTTGGATTACTGACAAAACACAAATCCCTCCAAAAATCAGTTTCTGTTGTTGACTCACTACTGAGAAAAGGATAAAGATCAAAATTAAGGTAGATATCATCCAGAGCTGAAGTAGCTATTTTTGCTTTTTGACTTTATGCAGGTGATTTTATCACGAGATCTGGTTGAAATTTTTTCTTAGGCAATTACCTTAAAGTCACAACATAACAGAAACCTGGAATATGTTTTATAAACTTAACATTATAGTATGTCACAATTTATCACATTCCCAGTGGGGATATGATGTAATTACAATCATATGATCATCTCTCAAAAGATACAAAAATTCAGTGCCTTTACTAATAAATCTTCTAATTTTATATAATGTGGAAAAAGTAACTTAGGTATAGTTACCTGTTCATGGCTGGAACTTTGCTTCAATGAAAAAAAAAAGCTTCTGCTGTCCAAAAACAATAAATATAAGCACTCTCAGGCATGGTACAATATACCAAAACTCAGCTTAGTAAGCTGTAGATATAGCTCAGAAATTATTACAGTAGTATTTATATTATGCCAAATTTCCATTCAGAAAAGACCACTTCAGGAGATCCTTATTTCTGTGGTTATTGCTTGAGGTTTGCTTGTGAAGTACTCCACAAAGCTCCCATCTCACTCATACTGCATTATGCATAGATCCAGAACCCAGACCTTACTTGGGAAGAGAACAGATGAGAGATACTTGACATCAGAAGAGACTAGCTTGTTTCAGAATTTTCCACGATATAAGCCCGGTGTCATGGTTTGATGAAGAAGAAGGCCTCAGACCATGAGAAGATATATTTCAGTTTTACATAAATATGTAACAAGAAACATTACATATGCCAATAAGGTACGAGTAACCTTGCCTGATCTGAACCTCTGTAAACTGGGACTCTCTGGTCCAGCAACATCCATGATCCAGAAGAACTATGGCTGTTCCAGGACCAGAGAGTCTCAGTGGAGGGCTGGTTTTCCAAAAGATGTGCGGCCAAGTGTAACCCAGATGTGCTGCCCAGTGGGACCAGTGCACCTCAGCAGGGCTGCCTGGCAAAGCCAGCAAAGGGGGGATGGGGAACCAGCAGAGCAGTGGGGGAGAGAGGGGAGCCAGGAGGCCAGTGTCCAGACTAGGACTTGGGGGGCAGGAGGCAGCGGTAGCAGGAGGGACAGAAATGACCACTCCTGGTCCAGCAAAATCCCAACCTGTACAGAGCACACGTTCAAAGGCCCTCATTAAGTCTTTGTACTTTCTCTTTTCCAGTCAAATGTTAGTACAGCAGTGTTGTAGAATAGGAAAAAAACATAAATAGTTTAATAGTGACCTGTGGTTGTCACATGCTGCTTGAAGAGCTTCTGATTCTACAGCAATGCTAAAAAATACTGAATTCCTCATCAATGCCATTCTGGGTCTAAGGCCTCAGACCAGCTAAGTTATGTTATACCGCACATAACTTCATACTCACAAGAAAGACTGAACTTTAGGTTTTGCTGACCCAACTGACTGTATAATTTCTGTAAGCTTAGTATTCAATATATATATAGCACACTATAATATACTGTATAGTACTATATAGTGTGTAAATATATATATATACACACACACACACACACAGACATACATACTATATAATACTATAAATATAACATTTCTTACAGTATATAGGAGAAACTAAAGATTTGAAGAGATTAGTAATGAAAATGGCTTGCGTCGAGCTAAAAATAAACATTCCTGCGTGTGTGTATATATGTATGTGAAAAACTAAAGACTCAAGAAATTAGTGAAAGTAGACATTAGTGAAAAATAGTAACTTGGACCACTGAGCTACAATAGACTGCAAAATCCTCATCAGGACTGAACTAAAAAAAACCTTTAAGAAACCCGTGTGCATTTGAAAACTACTAGACAAAGTCTATTCTACCTGTGTTGATTCCATATATAAGTGTGCCCGTGGGAGTGTGCGCACACACAAAGTTAGCAGAATTTTGTGTGTATGTTTTGAAGGGAAACTGATTTCTATAGCATAACACTTAACTGTAATTTATATCACTGTAAGAATTTTAACAGTAAAAGGCCTGTGTAGTTTTCTACAAAACACACCGGGCTCAGATTTAACAGAGAGTTATATTAGAATTTATCTTGTGGTTCATTAGTCTTAATGAGACACCCTCCTATTACCACTGAAGAAAACTGCCTTCTGTTATTTAAAACTAAGAATAAAAAGCCTACAATCATTGGTCTGTAAGAGCGCTTCATAATGCCAAACATTACAAACAGCCTAAACTGAATCCTGTATGAAAGTAACAGTGATCTCCAAATTACTTCAGTTTTTTAATGAATTCTTAGTAGAAATGTGACTTGTACTTAAAAGACACCTAAACATTCCTAATTAGAGTTATATTGGGCTTCAAATGTATTCTTTATTTCCAAGTCTCAGAGTTCTTCACCACTGTTATATTTATATCACAGAGGAGATACTGTGCACGTAATGTAGTAGGGCATCATATCCAGAAACTTGAGACTCTGTCCACACAGGAATTATTTTCCTCAGCTTCCAATCTTCAAGGTACCTCCTCCATAAACTGAGTTGGAAGTATACAAAATGAACCAAAACAAATCAGATGTTGTAAAATCTGAAGTAGCCTGTTTTTTCAGAAATACAGAGTGTGAAACGTGAGAGACAGCTGGACCCAAAATTATCAACAAGTGAAATTAATACAAAAGTATTTTGATAAAGATGACAGGAATGTGATGAGGTTGTTTTTAGAACTATTGATTGAAGATTGCTTCTCACAGTGTTTTCTGATGTCCATTTGCAGAAAGCTTTGTTGTCTCAGAGTCCCTTGCATTGTTCGACAGATGAAGTTTATCTAAACCTGCATAAATATTACACATAGGGTAAAATGCATTTTTCTGCTTTTCATATGCACAGATATTTAAAATGGAAAGCTACTAAAAAGCACAGTGTTCTCAAAACAAATTGTATTTAGATTTAGTTTTCCATATTTGCTTAACACCAAAATTGTTTTTCTAAAAGATGCGCTCTAATTCAAACAGGAATTACTTCAGGGAAATGCTCATGTCTGTGTCATACTGCGAGTCAGACTATATAACACTACCTTCTGGATTTATAATTTATGAACATTTTCAGAAAAAGGAGCCCACATTTAAGGTCTTCAATTTGTACTCTGAAGAATTAAGAATGGCTTTTCAGAAGTATTTAAGTGTACAAATTCCAAGGGTACTTCTAAAAATACTACCCTTAGTGGTCTAAACATGGACTTTGGAACCTAAATTTGGAGTGTCTCTTTTTTTTTTCTTTTTTTGTTTTGTTTTGTTTAAGAAAATGTAATCCTAAGGGTACAGAATGGATATTGCATTTTAGAACTTTCCCATTCTTGTA